AGCATATATACCGCTGCGTGTGTTCCTTGCGGGCAAGTGGGAGCCCCCTCCTCCGTTCTCATCGTAGAAAAAATCTTATCAATCGTGTTGAATGACCAATTAATTAAATCCATTCTAAAAAATAGGGTTTTTCAGAAGAATTCCAGAGAAGCACTCTGTGGGCAGACAGGACAAAGAGCCTTGGGAAAAAAAGATAAGGGAGCAAAAGCAGAAGCGTCTGTTTTCTGCGAGTGCACATGAAGATGTTTTTTTCTTTATTTAGCAAACATCTACAGAAAAACTCTTGTTGTCAGTGATAAACTTGTAAACCTTTGCTGTTTTTGTAACCAGAACATGCAGGCTTTATATGATTTACCCAAAATGAGACCGTTTTGAAATAACTGATGCTTTTATTATTTGATCAGAGGTCAGTTAATCTAAGAAGACAATTCTTTAACAAATTTGCCAAATTAAAATGTAAATAATCTTAAAATATCTCCTCTGTGATTGCCTCTAGTCCAGCATGTAAACATTGCAGAAAGTAAGTTAAAAGGGACATGATATGATTTTGTTTTCTTTATAGTTCTATAGTCGATACCAAACATGTTTATGAAGTTCTTTGTATGAAATCTCTCGCACATACTTCAATTTCAGTAGTTTTATTCTTGACAGTTTCAGTACCTCCCAGAATGAGCCATTTCAGGCCTCTATCCCCTTCAGAAAACAAACTGGAGCTGGCCACGCCCACCCATCCCCCACTCAGGCTGCTATCAGCTGAGAATCTCCCTTATCTGGGAGGGACTTGGAGTAGAGCCACTACTCCAGCAGTGGCAGTTTTCTCTTGCACGGGAGAGGTGGTTCTACTCTACATTCTCCGTTTGTGACATCACAAATACTTTTTGAAGCGGCTTGTTTTAAGCAAACACTAATAGAAAACAAATGGATTGTTTTTTTTAATGTTTGGAGTGTTTATAGAGGGAGTAGAGATCCACTTTGCAACAAAAAATGATGCACAAAGTGAATTTTGCACAATAAGTGCCCTTTAAAGTAAAATGTCATCATAAAACCCTACAAACGTGCCATTAAGCAGTAAAAAGTACTTGCTCATACAAGGAGGATTTAGATTGTTTCCAGCAGCAATTTATTAAAATTTGTAGCCAAGAAAAATAATTTAATAGCGCTGCAGAAAAGATAAAACCCCAGTGTTGCAAAAATGTTCAAAAAAAGGGACACATTTCTAAAAGCTATCCAAAACAAGCAGTCCCTGGTAGGTGACTCCTAAATGTATCTAACACTGAAACTAAATGGATTCAACAATTTTCAAATTAAACAACTAAAACGTGTTTTTTTTTCGTGTATTTCTAATAATCTCATCTTGCTTGGTAGTGAAGCTTGTTGTTGGTTTACACCATGTGAGTCTGAACCAGCGAGAGGGAGCAGGTGCTTTATCAAGAGCATTAGGCTTTTAAGGAAAGTCTCCCTCAGGGCTCGGCACATGCATGTGGTGACTTGGTCAGCTGAGCAAATCAGTGGAAGGAAAAACCTCATTTATTTTTCTTGCCAGCCAAAATGTGAAAAGGCCTTAATACGATTTGGCTAAAAGGCTTCTTGTGCGTCTGAACCGAGGGCTTCGTGGAGTCAAAATGTTAAAACGAAGAGTGATGAACGACTGCTTTTGCTTTTCTCTGGGAGGGAAATTTATCGTCAGCAGGATGAGATCAAATTTGTGGCCTTGTGATGACAAGATTCAGCCACTTCAGAGTTTCTCGAAGTGATTAACAGCATACAGTGTTAGTCTGCTAGCTGATCGTATTCTGATGGAGAAGCAGCTGATGTTGTCCTTCAATAACAGATGATATGACGTATTATCAAAGGGATGCGCTCCATCTAGATGTTAGAGTCTCTAAAAGACACAGAGTAGATTAAATAATCTGTTGTTAAAGAAGTTTTTTTTTAAGTTCTGATCATTTCACATTTAAATCCACTATCATCTGAAAAAATGTTGCATTGTCTCTAAAGATTTTAGGCAAATGTTTACACAACAGCAAAAGTGGCATTTATTTAAACAATGGTCACAGATCAGCTGCTGTTCTGGCGTTCGTTAACTCAATTATTTGTTAACTAGTCCATTAACTTTGGAAAAACACATTTGTTCCGTCAAGATAAGATATAAGCGAAATAAAACATTTTTTTTAAATAAAATAATGATGGTGCAAAACTGAGTGGTTCCTGCATGACACAGAGTTTGGATAGCTTTAAAATATTCCCAACAATTAAAGCCACATTAGCAGAGCCGGGCTCAAACATCTGGATGTCATAGCTCTTTAAAACTACATCTGCAGCCAGTCAAAATAAAGCTCTAATCAACAAGATGAACCAATATGGCTTCTGTTGAATCTGTGGATTATCCTAAAAAAAAATTATTCTAAATGGGAAAAAAATCATTAATTGTCTTGAATGGGTTCAGATTATTTAACGGTGTGGTTCACTGAAAACCCATTTTTAATGATTATTTCTGGTTATAATCAGTCACTCTGAGTATTTCATGCAGGTTGAACATGACAATAGTCTCCTACACCTATGTGCTGCATTAGCTTTTGAAATGTGAAATGCCTGGATGTGAAAACCCCGACAGATCTACGTCACACTGTTACTTAACATTCATGGACTCAGCCATCTTGACTCATGATGAGGAAAGCTGTTGTTGGTTTAACGTTCTGGAATCAGCAAATAACTTCTCAGCTAGCAGAAGTTAAAGAGCAAATTGCAGGTTAAATTTTTTTATAATTCATATAAAATGCTGTCCAAAAAATACTATTTAAAAAGCTTATTGAGGATATTTGGTTTTAAAATACATAACAGCAGTTTTTCTAGTATAACGTGGCCTTTCTCAGCAAAGCTTGCATCTAAATCTGAACCTCTGACGTAACCAAAGGGAGTTAGAAGCTCGGCGCTGCCTCAGCTCTGGGTGGAGAGTGGCTAGTTTTAGGGTAGAGAGGTCATGTGATCCAGTCAGTGTGTGTTTACTAGTGTTGGATTGTGTTCATGTTGATGAACTAGAGTGTGTGAAGGCTGTACCAACCCCAGCCTGTCTGGACATCGAGTCCACGGGTTTACAGATAAGAGAAACAACGCCTCTATCTCGGTGCCTGAGGGCGTTTTGTGCAGCTGAAAAGATGGACTTCTGTAGCCCACATCGGTCTTTACCGGGACAGGGAGGTCCGCGCTGGGCTCCGGAGTCCTGTGGCGGCGTTTAAAAAATTAAATGTGGATTTCTGGCACTCCGATCACCGTCAGAATCAGGACAGAACCGACCATCAGAAGAGACGCGCGGCTCAGCGGGCCAGCTGGTTTCCGGGTCGAAACCGGATCGGAACCGTCGCCTGGACCACCAGGAGAGGATGCGCAGCTTTTAAAAATACTAGCTCGACTGTCTCGCTAATATTGTGATGTTAGCACACGAGTTTAAGCTAACATGGTTAACTCACCAGACACCTGCTGCTCCTCCTTAATCTCTCTGCTTTGGCCGATGGTTTCTCCCTCTGGTTTGTCTCTGCCTTCTGGGGCGAGCAGCAAACTCATAACTTTATGGTTTGGGTCCATCATAAGTATAATTGTAAACATTTAAAGGTTCCTCTGTATCAGAGCTGGCATTATAATCTATATTCTTCTCTGGATTAAGCTAACAGGACTCCCTCAGATGATGTCACTCGGTTTGGCCAAAAAAAAACTTTCTCACAAAAATGACTCTAAAAGCCTAAATAATTCATGTCTGTGTAAAAAAAATGTTTAAAACGAGTTTCTATTATGTTTCTCTAAATATTGGTTCATGGGAGTTTCTAACCTGCAATTTGCTCTTTAACCTTCAGCATTAGCAACATCACCACATGACAGAGCTCCTCCAGACGTGTGTTTTTTCTTGGGATAAAACATCCATGTTGCAAGTTAGTGTTAGAGTTGCCTTGATGTTATCCTATTTGGGGCAAGATGTCCAAATATCAGTAAATAAAACTTCTACTCCTGTCTTCTGCAGTTCAGCCGTGATGTGGGTCACTTCTAGTTCCTGGAAATGGTGCACCGGTGGTTTTACCCCTTGAGTACGACTTGCAAGGCATTCTTTCCTACTAGAGACCACTGCAAAAATGTTGATTAAACAAGTGTCCCACACCTTTAATATCTTGACTGACAGAGACAGCTTTTTGAACAGCCTCAGTTTGGAGAAATAGACATGAATGAGTTGATGACTCATTCTGGGTGGGACAGTTACAAAGTGCTTCTGCTGTTCTAAAGTTACTCAGATCTAACAATAAAAAAAACATTGTGTGTTCATTCATATTTCTTGTACATTTTTACACCATGATAAATTTCAACTCACTCGGGTGTTTACATGAAAATCTATTTTTGTATATTTAAACTGTATTAAAACACTCAACAACTTGTGCAAAATTTTCATCTTGTTCAATGATAACTAATCTCTATTTCTCCAAATTGAGGTTATTCAAAGATCATTTTTCCACATAAATCTGTTTAGAAAAGATGAGTTTGAGTTGTCGAATGTTTTCCGTAAAACAAAAATGTTAAAGCTTTTTCTTTTATCCATGTGAATATCTAGAAGCTTTATCAGTTTTCTCTACTTGCTGCAGCTACAATCACTGTAAATGGTTGTTTAACCACTCAGATGTGTTTTAGACATCACAAACTTTACAAAGAGCTCCATAATAGTGAACTTTCTCAGTGTGGAGATATAATCCTGCGGACAACCATGCTCATGCAGTCAACCGTCTACATCGTGCAGTGAACTTCCTCTCATTGCCATAGTGTTGTGGACATGTCTTTACTTGATGTTTTTGTTATTAGACAGCTACCCTTCTACCACACACACACACACACACTCACACACACATACATACACACACACACAGATCATGAACTATTTTCTGTAAGGTCCCCTTCATGGGGACAGAAAGCTGTGAGATGTCCAACTGTCCTGACACAAGTCATTGTTGATTTTACTGTTGTAGGGGAGAGACTCTAGGGCTGCAGATAAGACTGTTGCCATGGTCCTGAAGGAGATACCAAGTAAGGCGTCATCAGAAGGGAAGCCCCTCCTCACAGTGACTACCAAGGTGGGCAGATCTATTCCAGAAACCAACCCCCACCCTGTCCTCACCCCACGCTTTTAAGTGGAAATTCTTTATGTGTTGGTGACACTGAAACACCGACAAAGCTTTACGTGTCCCATAACTGACCTCCACTGTCTACTAACTCATTACTTGAGGCTTTATGACTAACGTGTCTAACAAAAGAGTGACTCTTATTTCATTTCCAGCTGCTTCATGGGGTATAAGACTCTGAAACTTCACCACAGCATTTATTTAGTGGACATTTTCTCATATATAGAGAGCTTCAATTAGCCACCATGGTCCTCCATATGACTTTTTATCTATTCCAATTAGCCTCTGCAGAATTCTTTAAATTTATCACACAGGATTGTTAAACCTCAGTTAGTTTGAATTGTTTCATGAGTTTTTACACTTCATAAGCAGCTCCATGTGCACAAACTGTGTGCGAAAGCAAAATGAAGTGCTGCACAGCACGACATTGAGCTGCCGTCTGAACTCTTTCTGTACTCTGCAGCTGAGCTTTTTTATTTCTCTCTGTTTGCTTCTCAAGTCTTCATCAAGATTAAGTTGTTGCTTCAGATGCTTTTTTGTGTTTTGTGTGTGTGTGTGTGTGTGTGTGTGTGTGTGTGTGTGTGTGTGTGTGTGCGTGCGTGCGTGCGTGCGTGCGTGCGTGCGTGCGTGCATGCATGCGTGTGTGTGTGTGTGTGTGTGTGTGTGTGTGTGTGTGTGTGTGTGTGTTTTATTGACCTGTAGCATGCTGTCCTACTTGTTTTATTTTCTGATCTAATGTCTGGCCAGATAAGCTGTCAAACAAATCAGAGTCACTCCCTCTGAAGTGGAGGGGACGTGATTGTTGCTCAGTATTTTTGGAGGCTGTCAGCACATCTAAACCAATAAGTTATGACTTTATAGCTTTGGAACCAACTTTGCTTTAATGCCTAAATCTTTCACAGCCTAAATGACTGTATGAAAGGCCGAGCGCTGAGTCAGCAGACAGATTCTTGTAACGTCTTTATTGGTTCCCTGTCAGGGATGCGGTGTCCTCACTGATGGGTTTTCTTCTTAAATCAAGGATAAAAGGACTGTTGGTTCAAACTCACGCAAAATAATAAATAATAACATAAATATGGAATCTTAGAGCAGTTGTTTGTGTTGTGATGAGATGATCAGGAAGGAGTTACAGAGTTCCATTGGCCAAGAAAGCTGTCTATAAGAAATCATTTGTTCCCACCGCAATTACAATTTTGAAATCTTAAAGTTTTTTTTTTATTTGTTTTTTTTTTTTGTTTTTTTTTTTTTTTTACGATGATAACATTTTAATATCTTTAATTGTCTTTTATATATTTGTGTGAATGTGATATGGATTGTTAAGGTGAGCCATGTCAAAGGTGAATTTCTGCCTCAATTCGAGGTGGACAATAAAGTTTATCCATCTATCCGTTTTTGAAGATACATGGTTCATTTGTCAAATAAAACTACATTATTTAGCAACTTAGATGAAGAACCGACTCTCCTGTAGACTGGAATGTGTTTTACTTTTCCATGAAATCATAATTGATTGAGTGGCAGGAGTTTTCTAAAATTACAAGGTTAATGTGTTGTTTTACCATATTTACAGCTATAGTTACAGCTCATCACCATTAAAATGTGCCTGTGTTTTCATCAGGGCCGTCCTAGTCATGAAACTCTGGTCTATTCTTACAAATATTTATGATTTTTGCACAAATACGTTTGAGAAGTCGGCCCTTGGCAGGCTGCAGTTTCCATTATTATAACAAATGGAGGTTTGCAGGTGAAACTCCAAAAAATAGAATATGGTGCAAAAGGTCATTTATTTCAGTAATTTAGATTAAAAGGTGAAACTAATAAATGAGATAGATTTATTCCATGCAAATCCAGATATTTCAAGCTTTTATTTGTTATAATTGTGATGATCGTGGCTCTTATGAAAACTCCACATTCAAAATCTCAGACAATTAGAACATTGTGAAAAGTGTCACACTCTAATCGGCTAATGAATCCAAAACACCTGCAAAGGGTTCCCGGGCCTTTAAATGGTCTCTCAGTCTAAGATGAAATACTGAAATAAATTGAGTTTTGCACCATGTTTCATCTGTTTCAAAAGTCACATGGAAGAGATTTCTTGTAGTTAAATATTCGAAGGTTTATTCCATCTAAGTGAAGTTTGTAGAAGAAAACAAAGTTGTAACTGTGACACTAGCATTATGAATGAGTTGTTTGGTGTTGGACCCAAAGTGCAGGGGAAGGAACAGGAGGCAGGCCTGTGAACTCAAAAATGTTTCATAAAAACCAGGAACCAGGATAAATCCCAGCTAAAGCAGGAGGCTAACAGGGAGCTAAAACAAGTAAATCAACAGGACAAAAATATGGTAAGCGGTGAATGAAGCATAGAGCTTTTCAAGCGCTGCATTAAGGTGAAACCAGGGCACAATCAGGTGTGGCTCAGGTGTGTAAAGTAAAGCTGGTTAATCAGGAGTGCTGAGTGATAGTCTGGGGAGCTGAGGGTGGAAAATAAAACTCAACCCAAAAACATTTTTTTAACTCCTACATGCGCAAACTAAAGAGATCCAAAAGTTGGGGTGGCCTTTGACTCCAATCACCACGTTGCCATGGTTACTGTACAATTTACACATTGATTAAAGATGTGAACCATCAGACACATCATCAATTAATGATAGATGACGATGCATTTTCTATATTTCACTGAAATTTCTGGAACATTCTTGCACCCAAAGACAAACTTTTATGTAAGCAGAGACCAGCTGGTGCAAGTCAGCATTGTTTCACAAAAAGCAGCTGGTTAATATTTCATGTCTGCACTGAGTAAAGAAACATTAAAAAAGGGCTCTTCTTCCTTCATTTTATTTATTTATTTGTTTACTTATTTATCTATTTATTTATTTACTTATTTATTTAAGGGCTTAAGTAAAAACTCTCTTAAATTTAATTCGTTGATGCTTCACAATCTTTATTATGTCATCGACCACACACGTACAAGCAATGACTAAATTTAACTTTCTTCACTAATTTTGTTCTCAGACATGATTTTATTTAGAAGGAATAATGTCTCCTTTTGGAGTTAGTTTCCTCAGCAACACACATTCACCAACCGTGTTAAACGTGTGACAGTTATGGAAAAAAAGCATGTTAGAAAATGTTTAAAAAGACAAGAGACACATAGGAGGGATATGAGTAGAGTCAGTTAGCTCAGGATAAACAACAATGGTAGAATAACCTTTAAACCAGCTGTTCAGACCAAAAACAAATGTTAAGCTGATGAGTAATAAAACGTAAAATAAACAAAGGAGTGCATTTTAACCCACCCGAGCAGCTTCAGAGTCATGAAATGAGCCGGATACTTACTGCATTACAGGAGTTTTATGAAAATATGAAAAAGGCTTTTTTGCAGTGAGCTGCAGTGTAACCGGATATTATTCCCTTTTATTTTATATTGTTTTCGGAACATTTAATAAATAATCAGATCTTAGGTTTTAACCTTTTAACTGACAGGTGAACTGTCTGGTGGAGCGGGTCGGCACAAAATTACAACATAAAAAACATACTTTCTTCGACTGTTTAGTATTTGTCCCTTCCTCCTCTTGTCTTCCCCTCAGCCATTTCCCCTTTTTCTCTTCCTCCTCCTTCACCTCCTTCATGGTCTCACGTCTAACTTGTACAAAGCTCCCTTGGCAACAACATCTGAAAAATCTCTTGGAGTTAAGCCCAAGTGGCACAATTAGTCCAGTTTTCCATCGCATCATTTTCTAGATTACCTCTCCTGTAAACAAAGCGACAAGGTGCTTTGCAAAACTGGAACCACAGGAAGAGAACAAGAAGGGTAAATGTCAGCAGGGAGAGCAGCAGCCTCCATGTAGGTGAACGTAATGGGCAAACAGCTCAATAAGATCCTCTCCTGGGTTAAGAGTCAACCTATAATTAGTGTCTGCATGCTACCTGCGTCGTGCATGACACGTCTCCTCCCTGGATGAACACAGTTGATCTCCAGTCTCCATTTTCTGCATGACTGGAGAAGGAAAATTAAGAGCTTGTCATTTCAATTTAAATGAAAATCATAGGAAATGTTTTGAGGAAACGTCACAATAACCGTCTGAAGAACCTGATAACTTGGGAGGAATGTTGTCGGGTTTTCTGAACCTAAACTTTAACTGCATCACATTAAAAAACACCATCAGATTCCATTATGCATGAATTTAAAACAGTTCGCAGAAATTAACAAAAGTCCCACTAAGCCACTCTATTTTAGATCCCTGAGGTGGTTTTCGTGTGTTTGATTAGTCGTGTATTTCTGGCCCAAACTGACATTTTACAGTTTTCATCAAATGGGAAATATTATGAAAAACTCACCTTTTGCATCATTTTGTGCTGCCATGTGGGTCTCTACTGCCTCTATAAAGTCTCCAAATGTGAACAAAAACATCCGTTTATTATATGTCAGGGTTTGGATTCAGGAATGATGTGTCTAAAACAAGCCTTTTCTAACAGTCCCCATTTGTGACATCACAAATCTGGAAATTAGCATAGAACCCTCTCTCGTGTCCAAGAAAGAACTGCTGCTGGAGGAACAGTGACTCTACTGCAATTCTCTCCCACATATCATGGCTTCTCAGCTTATAGCAGCCAATCGGGATGGGTGGGAGTGGCCAGATTCAGCTTCTTTTCTTGAAGTGTCAGAGACCTGAAATGGCTCATTCTAGAAGGTACTAAAAATGTCAAGAATAAAACTGCTGAAATCAAAGTATGTGAGAGGGGTTTTGTGCAAATAACTTCATAAACATGTTTTACTTAGACCATAGAACTATTAGAACTCATGAAAAAAGTCATAATACGTTTTCTTTCCCTCACTAAAAATCAGACAGGAAAGTCAGTTTGTTTCATTCTCTGGTTTCCAAGATGTATCAGTAGTGGAATGAAAGCATTCCTGAGAATAACAGGTAGTGCTCCTCAATGACTTCAGTCAGTCT